TTTATAACCTATCATGTTGACATATTATGTGCCCATTCCAGTTAAAGTTGGCTTTGCATATGAGTTCTTAGAGTTCTCAATTGGTTGCACAACAACTTGGAAGCAATGGCAGGCCCTTGAGCTGCTAGGTGGCAAGAAATTAAGATTGAGTTCAGTCCATATGAGTTTGGATTTGTCATTATCCTTGTCTTGTGACTATGGTTTTGACAATTCACATGGATAAGAACACATACACCATTAAATCTAAGTGTCATAAGGTTTCTCTATTCATGAAAATGATGGTGAGGAAACACTTTCACTAAGTAGATTTTAGCTAGATAGCAATTGTGATATTTGCATTCTCAAAGTCGTTAGTGGAGCGTGTGTGGTTTACCGGCACACTAACCTGGACTTGTGAGAAGTGGCAAAAAGGTCTAACCATTATGATTACGGCATCCCTCTTCATAATTGTTTAGACACACAAGTGTGCTATCTAAGGGAAGGTGTATGTTTTTTGATAAAGTTTTATCAAAACAATCTAGTATCAGAAATCTGAACTTTGGTAAGAAAGTCAACTGATTTCTGAGTACATGTCAAAGCTAGTGGGAGCATAAGTGTTATGCTAATAATCATCATGTTAGTGGGAGCATGATAATTATGATAAGTATTGCAAGTTAGCAATGTTAATTATAGAAAACAAAAGGTTTCAATTGGGAAAAGTTGTTTTGCTATAATTAAGGGAGAGGAAATTATACTTCATCTCAAATCTATAAGCTTAGATCGTGAGGTTTTAATCATTTAGTCAAGGAAATATATATGAATTTCATGTTGGAATGGCTCAACATAAGGAAATTCTGTATATGGGTCCATTATTTGCGTTCTAAAATTCGATTATGATTACGGCATCCCTTTTCATAATCTGAATTATGAGAACTTGGCAAATAGAAATGGAAATGTTATAGCAAAAGACTGGTTTAGTCTTTATGTGAGACATCATGAATCGTGTCCCATATGCTTCGGATATAGGATCGATTACATGTGCTATATTCATCCTTTCTAAAAATTTTCCAAATGCCTGGGGCATTAAGAAGGGAAAAGGTTTAGAACTGGATATGACTAAAAGGATTAAACAATTGTCGAGGACAATCTAAGGTTTACCAAAGATTGGTTGCTCAAGGACAGTTGGAAGTATAGTGATAATTCTGGAAGGACCATATTGACATAATCTGTAAGGAGGCAACTCTTGTTCAGAAGTGATAGTCAAAATGGAATCTGGAAATGTTTCAAAGTTAGAATTTTCAATCTGTTAAGATTAGGAAACTTAATGCAAGAAGGATGTTTCCAAGGAGCTGATCTCCTTTGGAATGCTCTGTAATGATTGTTGTCAAGTCTTTGACTTTGTGCATAATCATTACAAGAGGATCAATGCATATAAGTTTAGAATCTAACAGATTTCAGTAAATGGCATGAATTTGGAATTCTTGCATTTGCAGTAAGGATTTGGGAGTGTGAAAAGAGAATCATTGAAGTTATGTTCAATTGATCTAGTTCACAAAGTAAAGATCATAGACAAACATAGTATGCATACTTGGTGTATGGCATGACTAGTGTTTAGAAAACATAGTGTACATGCTTGGAGCATGGGACAACTATTGTTTTAAATTCAAGAATAAAGTTGATAGCTGAAACAGTATACAATGAATAATGTGTAATCATATGGTGATAAATAAAAGGTGTTTTATTTATGTTCATAGGTTTTGATACCATATTGGATTCAATTATTATTGTGTTTCACTTTGCATGTTTTGACTTCCCGAATAAACTAGGTTATTCTTCCGGAATGACTAAGTTATTCAAACCATCCACAGTCGGTCATATGTTGGAAGTAGATATGAATTAAGACTGTCATGGGTTGGCTTGTAGAGGTCTAAGGTGTTGGACAAAGGCTACAACACTCATGAGTGCTCATAAGTTCTGAGTATTGGATTCAACCCGCGCTCATTGGAATCACTTCATGGATTTTATCACGAGTGATCATGAGACGATAATATCTTATATTCTTCAAACCTAGAGATATGAGTTGTTACTATGAGTTGGTTATACATTGATTGCACGAAACGCATTTGGTAACTCGGTGCTATAAAACGTGCCTTTGTGTATGATTCAACAAGTAGTAGAACAAGCCATATGAGTCGAAGTTTATCCATTCCTTTTACCTTCGGGATAAAAGCGATATCTGTGGGCCCCTCGATGATTTGATGATGACAAATGGAAGTGCTCGGCCGGGCCAGGACTGATTTGATTTGTTCAATTAGTCAGTCGTCATAAATCGGAAATCGGGAAACAACAAATGGACAGAGAGAATGATTAGAATCCATGTCTCAGTCCATATGATATCTAGAATGGAGGAATATATGATCCCTTATCTAATGGACAAGTCATTGACAAAGGTCAGCGTTTATCGACAAGGTCAGAGTTCGACAGAAGCTTTTGAGAGCTACGATTGCCAGTTGGTTCCTGAAGTCATACACAATAATAGTTTTAGACTTATCCAAGTGGGAGACTGTTGGATTAATGTCTAAGTCCATAACTATAATTGGTAAGACTTGACCCGACCCGGCATGGTCCATTTGGGTTGCATGGCATCATGCACTTGGATAGACTATAATGAGAGAAATAAGACACTTATGGTTATTAATATATTATAAGTTCTAGTATATTAATAATAAGAATAATAAGATTATTTAATTAGTATTGATCAAGAATTAATCTAGGATTAATTAAGTGATCGAAAGAAGACTAATTAAATATATGGGTTGATTGTACAAATCATCCATACTTATATAGTGGGCTAATGCTCCATGGATTATCTAGTTGGGCCAAAACCTATATGATGCTCCATGGATGCTCTATGGTGTATTTGAACCCATGGATCCAAGGAAATGGAAAGTCATGACAATTAGGGTTTACCCTAATTGTATAACTATATAAACATCTTATTCTTGATCAAAATCGGCCACTAGTGAGAGTAAGAAAGGGCTAGCCGATTTTCAGGAAGTGTAGAATTCTCTCAAGTTATTCCAAGTGCATTTGGTGTTGTGTGAACCATTTGAGGTGTCACACTTGGGGCACTAGGCACTCAAGCTTCATGAAGACATTCTACATCAAAGAGGTATGTATTTTATCTTGTTATATTGATAGTTTTGTATGTTAGATTAAGATAATACCTTGGATGTTCATATTTGCATGTATAATAGAGAAAACATAGATCCAAGGTATTTAGGGTTGCATGTACACTTAGGAGTGGTAGAATGCTCATAACCCAACAACTTGCACCAGTGTCAAGGTACCACATTTTTAATTGATTCAAGGCTCCCCCATTTGGCTTCACTTCAGGCTTCACTTTCTCTTCATTTAGAAACACCTCCCCTGTTTCTTCAAAGGTTGCTAGCCACAAAGCTGGTTCATTATCATCATGGACCAAATTTGCCTCTTGATTTCGTTCCTTCTTTGGGTTCTTGCACTCTGCTGCATGGTGCCCAAACTCCTGGCAGTTGTAGCACTGCACACCGCTTTTATCTTGACTGCTAGAGGTTCCTTGGCCTCCCTGATTATGGTGACCACCTCTGCCACGACCACCGCGACCTCTTCCTCTGCCTCTTCCTCTGCCACGTGAACCATTAAAGCCACCCCGGTTTGTCTTTGCCTTTGAGTCACTATCACTTTTTTTCTTGTTCTTCTCTGATCATTGTTGATAGGTCATGAGGAGCTTTCTATCTTCTGGCTCAGCATGACATTTCATCCGTTCTTCATAGGCTTTAAGCCTTCCAATTACTTCTTCAACAGACATGGAGTTTATATCTCCAAATTGCTCAATTGTTGAAGCAATTTGGAGAAACTTGGACGGTACTGCCCTCAACAGTTTCTTCACAATGTAGGACTCCTCTATAGTGTCCCCAAGAGTGCGCATGGTGCTCACAATGTTGCATACTTTTGCAGCAAAGTCATCTATCCCTTCTGTCTCCTTCTTTGTCATGGTCTCAAACTATGTCTTCAAGGTCTATATCCTGGCTATCTTCACTCTATCTGCTCCTATAAACATGGTTTTCAAGGCTTCCCATGCCTCTTTGGCTGTCTTCTTCTCTGCTAAAGAGAGTAACAAATCTTCAGGAATACCTTGATAGATGGCTGCCAAAGCCATCTTATCCTTCTTAACTTCCACAACTGTGTTCTGAGTCCTGGGCTCCACTGCTTCCCAAACCCCTTGAGCTTGCATGAAGACTCTCATTTTTATGGCCCATGCACCATAATTACTTCTGGAGAGCATTGGGTAATGAAGAGTGATCTGACCCTCCTTTTCGCCATTTCCATTATTTCCAGTCATTTCTTCTCGGGACTGATACTTGGGCATGCACCTGAAATCTCTGATCCCAGATGTTGGTTTTTACAGGGGCAATAAAGACCGTTTTTAACAAAACAGAGGCACAAAGAAACAAGACTGCACAGGGGACAAAACAGTCAAATGACAGCAAGGGTAAAATGGGGAAATGCAGGTTTACAACTCTGCACTGTAAACAAAGAAAGCACAGAGAACAGGTAAATACACAGAGGATAATATGAGGCAAAGTACTTTTCTTATTCACTGAATAAAGAAACAAAACAGGGATACACATCAACGTACACTTGCCTTCTGCTTTTAAACTAAATCTTGACAGAAAAATAGGAACAACCTAGCTACATGCTAAAGACCAAGGATTAACTTCACACGTGGTCTTTGATTTATTCAATGAAGAAAAACTGACAAATACTGATTAAAACTTGTGCAGGAAATACCCCCCAGCTTTGAATTATTTCAACACTCATCACCATCCCTCAAATCTGGCCACACAGTTGGCTAAGTTTGGGCCAAAAGGTGTCAAAAGACTGGAACTTGTTCTTCAATACCCTTTTCCGGAACTTAAATTTCTGGGACACCATGAATGCTATGGTCGGTGAAATCGATGGGAATTCGGGTTCATGGCGGTGGCAACAGAGATGATTTCAGGAAAGTGGTTAATGATTTGGCTCGAAATCGGAGCTGTGTTATCAGCTATAAGTTTATTCAAAAATTTGGACCGAAACCTAGTGATGACCGGCGGTGGTTGTGATGCCATTACCACCGCTGCCGAAGGAGGAGGATAAGGTTGAGGTGGAAGGGGTTAGACTCCGCCTTGTGTCGAGAACAGAGATGGGTTTATTACTGTTGTTGCTACCAAAACTACCGTCGTTAAACTTATTATTAGATCCTGTAAAGGTTGAAAATCTGCAACTTCGAATGGCATACGACATACCTCTCATCATCTGTTCATCAAGGGAAAAAAAGTTATTTAAGAAAAAACAAAACGATAACACATTTTTTGGATTTTGAGCTTTCAGATGGGTTCAAATCTTGATTATTTTTGGTTCAAAAATGATAATTTCTTTTTGTGGATGTTCAAACCTCAAACGATAACAGAAATCGCACAAGGGAGATCCATGATTCTGGAGAACGACTTAGAGAAAATGCATTATCTTAAAGCCATCATCAAGGAGACCTTACGTTTGCATCCTCCAGTGCCGCTACTTATTCCTCGAGAATCAATACAAGATGTGAAAGTAATGGGGTACGACATTCCAACAGGCACACAAGCGTTTGTGAATGTTTGGGCGATAGGAAGAGATCCTAGCGTATGGGAAGAACCACAAGAGTTTAGGCCTGAAAGGTTCTTGAACTCTTCTACAGACTATAAAGGGCTTCACTTTGAGTTTCTTCCATTTGGTGGTGGACGTAGAGGGTGCCCTGGAATTCCATTTGCTATAATAATCATTGAATTAGCATTAGCGAATATGATATACAAGTTCGATTTGGCGTTACCTGATGGAGTAAAAGGCAAGGATTTGGACATGAACGACAAGTATGGCCTTAGTCTTCAGAAGAAATCTCCTTTAATTGTTGTGGCAACTTCTCGTTTCTAGTAGTTAATTGCGTCACTATGTAACTTTCAATTATCATATTGAAGAGATGTTTCATAATAAATGTAATAATGTAATATTAAACATATGTTCGTTTATTAACAAATACTATCTAGAAAAAGATGGATATCTATTAAAATAAAAAGCAAACAGAATGTGACAATCGAAAATAAAAAAAAGGAAAAAACTAAGAATAAGAACATGGTGGGTTAATCTTGATGGTTCGGGTAGAGTACTGGTCAAGTCGGTTACGGGTTTGAATGGGTTAGTCCAGGTTCTTTATGCACCGGTTAATAATGAAGATTTAGTCCAAAGAAGGACCTGGTGTTGGAACTTTGACTACAAAATTACAATGTGGGACTTATCCCACATTGGTGGAAGAGAAAACCTTCTCCCACCTTATATATCTAGTCCCACTCATTTAACTAAATGGGTCAAGTAATAGGTTAAGCATATTGGGCTTGGGTTGTGGTGTTGGATTAACCTAATTGGACTTAAAATGGGCTAATATCAAGAGAATATTTAATGGTCAAAAGATGGGCCTTGGGCCTTAGGGTCTTCCTGATTAATTAGATAATTTTTAATTACGAAATTAATTTTTTTTTTTTTTTAAATTCGTAATTACTGAATGACAGGTTTTTAACAGTTATTTTCGGTTTTGACAGTTTCCAACTGTCATAACTAATACCTATAAATACCTGTTTCATTCATCTGAAAGGGGTTGCAGAAATCATCATTCACACCACAGAATTCTCTTTAAAAAAAATTCGTTCTTCCAAAGATGAAGGGAACATAGGAATTTCGTCAGAATCAAGAGAAGTTCTTGATTGATTGTTGTATCCTCTAGACAGATCCCCACCAGGGAAATTTCTGTCTTAGGACACTGCAATTTGCAGGCCTCAATCTACATAATTTCGTTTTTGTGTTTCTGTTGTAAGCATAAACCATCAAGTATGTTTTCTACAAACTGATTCTTGTATATGTCATATATATATATATATATATATATAATATATATATATATATATATATATATATATATATATCAATTTCGTTTGTTTTATTTCTGTTAATCTTGTTGATTGTATACTTCTGTCATAACACCTGGTTTGGTGGAGCTTCAATAAACGTGGACTTAGTAGTCGTATCTTTGTGGTTTTAGCTAATAGAGTATGGTTTATCTTTTAGTAGGAGTAGGACGTGTATGTATGTATTTTCGGTTTTCCATGAATGAGCAATACACAGAAAATTGTCCTATTGCATGTTCTTTCTTTTAGTGTGAATATAGTGCATGTTTGATCTTGTGTATAGAGCATGTTCCAAAAAAGCATCAATCTCAAAGTGAATGCTTTGAGGAGCGGGATACATGATTATATAATTTGTTTCTTAGACCTTAGTTGTGATCAGTGAAAACCTAGAAATATGAATACATTACCAAATACCGAAGTGCAAGATTCTTTTCTTAGCTTCCTTAATTTGTTCGGTTTGTATCCTGGTGAGACACTAATCGCAAGAGCAAGTACACTGTCATGAAAATTACAAATATAAACTCGTGTTAAAATTTTACACAACTTGAAAGCTTTCATAAAAACAACTAGCGTAACAATTATGCAACTAATCTTTTAGCAACAATGGCGTCATTATTATAAATGGAACTCCTTGAATGGATACGAGAGAGCATATCCGGATTCCACCCCCTTCATCTTCCATTGATGATGAAGGTCCGAGTGAGATCTAAAGACATTGTCCACATCCATGGAGCCAACAATTCATGGTATTGGATCGATGTAGGGCCACAAACTGCATCCACTTACCGTATGTTGGAGCAGAATTTATTCGGCCTCAAACGATGGCATCGCCGATTTAGCCTCAAACGATGGAATCACAGTAAAATAAAAAGAATATTAATTGATTAACACACAATTGCAATAGTTTTTACAAAATGACCTGATCAAATGGTATTTTCTCTTTTTTTGAAATTGTGTTGTCCGGAAAATATAACCAAGAAATTGATGTTTGTCGAAGTTGACTAATATGGTTGTTTCTTGAACGACAACTCACTTTCATTGTAAGTCATCTACAAATATATATATATATATATATATATATATATATATATATATATATATATATATATATATATATATATATATATATACTAGCCGTCTACCCGTGCAAAGCGGCGGACGGCGAATAATTTGATCTCTTTAGAGTTAAAACCATTTTGCGTTCACTTCGAGAAATGAATATTAAATTACATCTATTTTTCAAGAGCATTACCATACCATATTAAGGGGGTGTTTGGCTAAGCTTTTTTTAAAACAACTTATTAGGTTCCACATCACTATAAGTTAAAAAAGTGTTTGGATTAAAATAACTTATTCCGGTGGAGAACCTCTAATACGTCATTTTTTCATAAGTTACCCTACACTTACTTATTAACTTATAAGCTAATAAACTAATAAGCAATAAGCTTTTTTGTCAAACACCCCCTAAATGGTTACTACTCCCATTTATACATACCCAAACCACTTGTACTGTCTATCGTCCTCTTTTTTTTTCGTTTTCTTTAATTCCTTTATTAATTTAATGTCCTACTAAGTAAAATGCTAAAATATATAAATAATAGTTTACAAAAATAAACCTTTAGAATATCAGGTGTTGTGATTCAAAAGTCGATAAATAGGCCTTTGAGAAGGCCAAAATACTCAGGTGTCAACTTGTTCATTGTGATTTTAAACCTAGTTTGGTCACAAATTAAAACATTTTCAACGATGGTATGTAATTCAAGGATTCATATTAATTTAGGTTCTCGAAACCTTAAAATATTGAACAAAATCTATATAGAACTTTATAATAAGGACAATAATCACCGTAATCTGGAAGTCCATGTGATGAAACTTGATATTAAGGACCAATGATGAAAAATGTTTCATTTTTAGACTAAACAAGATGAAAAATATATAAACTACCTTAATCATGTCAAATCTTGTGTTTAACCATTCTTTATTGCAAAAGTAAGATGCCAAAATATACAAACTAATGATAATACAATGCTCTAACTGGCCCTCTTGGTTGAGTTCTTTGAACCTGCAAAGTCAACACATTAAAGAAACATAAACAAACCTAATATAATAAAGTCTTCACCCAATATATTTATAAGATAAAAATACAAAAAGTTAAAAATGATGAAATCAATTATAAGTAAGGATTAAAATAAAAACATGTTAAGAAAGAGCCATCTGCAGGAGGGATATTTGAATCAACATGTATTTTCTGATGGTTTCAAATTTTGAATTATTCGAAATTCAGGGAAAGAGATAGATTTTGTTGAGAAATATAAGGATTCAAAACACAGGTTAAAATTTAATATTATTCTATTGATGACTACTTGTACTATTAGCTTAATGATTTGAACGTCTTAAAAAAAATAATATTATTATATTCAATCTATTTTTAGAAATAGTGGGATTTCTTTTATAAGATAGTAAAGATATATATATATATATATATATATATATATATATATATATATATATATATATATAATAATAAATAAAAAACAAATAAATAAATAAAGACAAACTAGTACTTATCCATATAATGCATAGCTCCAAGAAATAATAATAAAGAATTATTGTGTGCTCAGATTTCAGCTTTTTATATATTATTGGGCATCATAAATATCTAGTGTTGTTGATGCTTTGCTTTGCTACTGCTGTGTGGTTTCTTCGTTCGCATCTAGAAACAAATTTGGGGAAGAAAGAAAAATGTTTACATATGGTCCTTACAGTTTCAGTGTTTTGGCAGTTGCTACCTATTTTCGCAATAGGAGTAAGAGGGTGTTTGTTTTTTCTCTGCAGGTCTGCGTGACCTCTTCTGTCTGCGAGGCGCAGACCACGCGCAGACATAATGGTTTGCAGTCTGTTTGTTTTTCTGAAGTGCGCAGACATAAAAACGTCTGCGCGAGGTCTTCACCACACAGATATGGGATAGCATCTTCTAAAGTCTGCAAGCCCTTTAACCTAAAAAAAACGCGTCTTTTTTTCTTTTGCTTCCGCCTCCCGTCCTCGTCCAACCCTCCCAGAAAAAACTCTCCATCGTTCGATCGTTCTCCACCTTACAGCGACCACCACCGTCGCAACCCTCCTCTCCGATCAAAGCCATCAATCGCCGCCTTCCTCTCCGATCCGGCGTCCTCCGATTTTCCGACCATCATAATCGATTGCAGCAGCCGGCGAACAACAACCCTCGATCGATCGTACTCCACCCTGCTCGATCGTCTGCTCGCCACCGTTAACCACCCTGCTCGCCACCGGCCGGAGACCGTCGCCCCCACAGCTACACCGGAGACTTCGACCTCACAGGTTCGTTTTTTTTTTTCCTGCTGTGAGCTACACGTTTCTGTTATTCCCTTCTACATATATACTTTCTGTTATTCCCTTCTTTGTGTTGCATTGAAGCTATAGTTCAGAATTTATGTTAATTGATGCATAAACATGAGTGTAAACACCACATAGACCAAAAATGATATAAATCAACTACTTATTTGAGCCTCATCTTATTCAGATTTAAAATGATGTATTGATCAAGATTCCACAACAATCTGTTGTAGTAATTGAACAGGTAGAATAAAAAGCCTCAAAAGATTGTTGTCAACTAAATTGTGTAAAATAAAAACATTTGTAATGAAAGTAATTTATCTTTGAATGTGAAATTGGATTTGATTATGTGTTTGTGCTTCAATTAGCAATTGAACCTAGATTGTTGTGATGTGTTTGTGCTTCAATTAGCAATAAAAAGCCTCAACTAGATTGTTGTGATGTGTTTGTGCTTCAATTAGCAATTGAACCTAGATTTGATTATGTGTTTGTGCTTCAATTAGCAATAAAAAGCCTCAACTAGATTGTTGTGATGTGTTTGTGCTTAAATATGCAGTAATTCAAAGTTGTATATATATATATATATATATATATATATATATATATATATATATATATATATATATATATATATATGATTATTGATTGTGTATATTTATATGATAGTGTATATGTATATGATTGTTGATTTTGTATGTATATGATAGAAAGCATCAAAAAGAGACATAAGTTTTGTTTATTTTATAGAAGTAAAGTTTTTTGTCGTTAAAGTGAAGTTTATTTGATTTATAAAGTTTTTTAGAAAACTTTGAATTAAAACACTCTAATTGAGGTTATTTATAATTGAATAAAAAGTTTCACATTATTGTGATTGAAAATCAAACAAAATTACAAATTTGTCGTGAAAATAAAAAAAAATTCTTGAAATAATATGTTACTTGTTCACTGTTTATTGTTAGTTGGTTATTAGAGATGGGAGAAAAACAACAATGGACCAATGAGCACTTAAAATGCTTATTGGATACTTGTATTGAAGAAGTAGAGAGTGTTGGTAGAAAAGGATTGAGTTTACAGAAAGATTCATGGATAAGGCTTGGAAGAGTTCTTAAGGAGAAATTTGGGGTTGAGTTGACTCAAAAACAAATGAAAAACGCATATGACAATCTGAAAGCCAAATACACTGGATGTGTATATTTAAAAAACAAAACCGGTAATATATACAATTCTCAAACAAACACTTTTAATTTAACAGCCAAGGAGTGGGATGATTTTAAGAAGGTACATATACATTAATATCACTGTTGTAAAAATCCCGACTAGGTCCCGATTAATCTCTGATTAATCCCTAGGCGCTACTCAACCGATTAGAGGGCGCCTAGCGATTAATCCCTACATAAATAATGAGTGAAATAGTATGAAATGATGAAATTTTAACATTTTGAAGAAGTTTTATCTTAATGGAAACTATTTGAGGCATGATTAGTGTTGTATTAATCGTATTAACCTATTTTGTTATAATATTAGTGGTATTTATGAACTTTGATATAATATTAGTCATATTTAGGTTTTTAAAATTCAACAAATTAGCAATTAATGGTCCCCGATTAATCCTCCGATTAATCGCTTAACCCCAGTCCACCGACTAGCTAACGTCGAACGTTTTTTACAACCTTGATTAATATACAATAATATATATATATATATATATATATATATATATATATATATATATATATATATATATATAACATTTACGTTTGAAGTTGCCAAATATTCTTATACTATTTCTTGTTACATTTGGGTTTAGGGGCATCCGAAAGCTGCTTCTTTGAGAACAATTCCATTGCCTTTTCCAGATCTTTGTGCACGTCTTTTTGATGGAAATAGTGCTACTGGTAATTTTAGGAGTTACTCAACCCAATCATCATCGGTAGCTGGTGCATCCTCCTGTCGTGTTCCACCACTTCAGATCACCGCCACCCCTTTTGATGCAATGGATGATGATGGTGTTGACACTTCTCATCATGAGCCACCACTTTCTGCTGCTTCACCTTCTGCAGCTTCACCTTCTGCTGGTTCACCATATACTGCTACACCATCCGGTAACCCCAACAAAAGGGCTAAACCCTCAACTCCTGTAGCTCCTAGTGCCTCACCGTCTGCTTCTTCACCTGATGGAACTTCTGTTACTGCTGACGATTTAGCATTTGAAATGAAGAAAGCTCTACAAAGTTTGACTAAAGGGTATACAATTCCTCAGTGTTTAGAGAAGTTAGAGGTCCTTCAGTTAGGCCCTACAGATCCTTTACGCTTTGTCGCATATCATATTTTTGGAGGAACCATGAACATGAGAGAGATGTGGATGCATTTGCCCGATGTTCCCGAGATATTACGAGGGTGGCTTGAGATGACGGGTACCAGTTTAGGAGTTTTGAAGGATGGGAAGATTGTTCGATGATTTTCTAGTGTTGAAAGTATTTGTTAAGTCTTTTTGCCCTTGTTGGAACTACTTTGTTAAATGTTTTTGCCTTTGTTGGAACTATTTTGTTAGGTCTTTTTGCCCTTGTTGGAACTACTTTGTTAAATGTTTTTGCCTTTGTTGGAACTATTTTGTTAGGTCTTTTTGCCCTTGTTGGTACTTGAAATATGATTAATGGAATGTTTATTTGATACTTGAAATATGGTTTATGTAATGTTATTTTGGCTTGAAATATGATAAATGGAATGTTTATTTGATACTTGAAATATGGTTTATGTAATGTTTTTTAAAGTTCTACTTTGTTGATTTTAGGTTCATATGGATCACGATCAAAAGTTACTTCTCGTAATTCTAATGTACCTATACATCCGTTATTTTTGGAAGAGGGGTGTGAAACGATTGCGGGATAATGATTCGGAAATGACGGGACACGAATACACATTGGAGTTATTACACCGTAATCGTTTACAATGTGTTGAAGTATTACGCATGTCCCGTGAATCTTTTGTACGACTATGTGCTCATTTTAGAGCAAATTACTCATTAAAGGACAGCAAACATGTATCAGTTGAGGAAAAGATGGCTATGTTTTTGATGATGATCGGACATAATCAACGTTACGTGATTATCAAGCGGAGATTTCAACACTCGAAGCAAACAATTCATAAATTTTTTTATGAAGTGTTGGAAAAAATGATGCTTTTCGCACAAGATGTTATAGTACCAACATCTTTTAATCCGAATCCAAACATTCCAGGACATAATAGGAGGCTACGAAGGGTTTTCAAAGGAGCAGTTGGTGCACTTGATGGCACTTTGATACATGCTGTTGTCCCTGCTAAGAAACAAGACTTATATAGAAGTAGGGGAAAGGGAGATTGCTACCAAAACGTATTGGCAATATGTGACTTCAATATGATTTTTACATTTGTTGTGACCGGGTGGGAAGGGGTAGCGCATGACTCTAGAATATTATCAGAAGCAGTAGCCGATCCACAAGCATCATTCCCGTTTCCACCACCAGGTAATTTTTTGTTTTTTTTTTTTAATATTTTCATTTTAATTTGAAAATTGATTAGTGTTTTGCATTTTTTTTAGACAAATATTATCTTTGTGATGCCGCGTATGCACACACTCGAGGATTTATGGCCCCTTATCGTAATGTGAGGTATTGGCTTGGAGATTTTCGTCAAAGACGTGCATTGACCAATAAAGAAAAATTTAACCATGGACATGCAAAACTTCGAAATGTCATTGAGCGTGCTTTTGGTGTTTTGAAAGCACGCTTCCCTATATTGAAGAGGATGGCACCATTCCCGTTTGTGACACAAAGAAACATTGCCATGGCATGCTTCGCGCTTCATAATTATATAAGGAAAGAAGGATTGAGTGATGAGTATTTCGCACGATACGATGAACCCAATGTCCCGTTTCGAAATAACAATGTGGCCATTGATGATGATGAAGACGAGATTCCAACACATGGTACTACAGCAGACCGTGAATATATGACTCAGTTACGTGATGAAATTGCCGATCAGTTGATGCACAATATACATTGAATTGTTTTAAATGAAATTGTTATTGTAAAACATTTTTTTTTTATTGTATGACTAATTTAGTTGCATGAATTTTATTTTCAATGTTATAAGACTATTATTATTAAAATTTTGGTGTTGAAAAATCATTTTAAGTTTGTAAAATAATTTTATTTAAAATTCAGTTTATTTCAGCAGCCTGCAGACGTTAAAAAACAAACAGTCTTCTTATTGCAGACTGCAGACGTTTGGTCCACCTCTTCTGCTGCAGAGGCTTGCAGATGTGGTCCGCAGACTGCAGACATTTTGGCTTCAGAAAAACAAACAGCACCTAAGGTTTTGTGAAGTATGCAGAATTTTCTATTCAAACCCCTACAGTTTATGCGAAGTGGCAAATTTTACCCAGTTTCACATTTAACATATTTTTACCAAATAGCTTTCTCCGGTATTTTAACGACCGGCGTGATGGGTGGCAAAGCACAACGGCGTCAAGTTGAGAGAGGGAGAGATGTAATTGGCATCCAACGATGGGTTTGAATGAGATATTTTTGAACGTGATACCTCTAATGTGGGGTTGGAAGGAAGTATATTTATATGAATTTACTAATTTACCCTTAATAAAACATTGAAACAAACATCATGGCTCAAGTTCATTAAAGGATTCTCTCTCTTTTCTTTTTTTACTAAAAAACCAAAATAAAACAAATTAATTTTTTTTTTTTAGAAAAAGCTGGTATAAGGCTGAGGGTAAATAAATTTTGATTTAGGGGTAATAATTTTCAAAGCTTAAAAAATATGGAGATAATATTATTATACGAAAATTAGTAAATGTATGTCATCAAAATCTAAAAATTACATAATATTTATAATGTAGAAATTATATTATACAGAATTTTTGTTGTTGAGTTTTCAAAGATAATTGTGTATTTTTAATATATTTTTTTTCAATAATCTTATATATTTGGCTACGGAAACATATTTCGTAACTAGTTGACTACGGAACTTTCCGTCCCCAAATACTTATGGATTTTGATTTCGAAGCCATTTTGCAAATTCACCTTTTTGTAACAAGTTCAATAATAGATTAGCTACAAAATTTTATTTTGTAGCAAATTTTCCTAGAAAAATAGCTACAGATCCCAAATACATAGCTAACTAGCTACATATTTTTATTTCGTAGCCAATTATGTAGCCAACTAGTTACATACATGGATTTTGTAACAAGTTTCATAAAGAACTAGCTACAACCAAAAAATTTGTAGCATTATTTGTAGTATACTAGCTACTTCAAGATTTTAATTCTGTAGCAACTATTCAAGATTTAGCTACGGAATGCAATTTCGTAGCCATTTTCGTAGTAAATTAATTACAACCAACCATTTTGTAACATATTCTGTAGTAAAATAACTATAAATTTAGATTATGTAGCAATTTTACGTAGCTACTTAAGATTTAGCTACATAATGCAATTCCATAACAATTTATGTAGCAAAATAGCTACGACAAGTCATTTCGTAGCATATTCCGTAGTAAAATAGCAACGGATTTTGATTCCATAGTAACTTTTCGTAGCTATTTATGATTTTTCTTGTAACGACATGCATGAATTATTGATCAAGAGTGTTGGTAACAATATTAAAGAATGATGAGAAAAACTCCCCGTCATCACAAAATCATATTTTTCAAAAAATTCCATGTTTATAGTGTTAAAAATAGATAAAAGATAATGAAGACTTTGAGTGAAATTTTAGTGGTATATATAGATGAGATGATGAGTGTGTTTAAGTAAATATGATTTTCTTAAGAAAATGCACAAGTAGCCGTTTAACCCTTAGTAATCACAACTTCTTCCCCATTAGAGCGTTTCTCATCGTCACTATCCACAAACCACCCTGGTCGTACGTGGTATCGGGGATGGTGTGCCGGTGATAGACTCCAATCAACATACATTTACTTTTGATCCCTGATCCTATAATATTGAGCATGGTCAAAACCAAAATTGGATAACTTCAAAGACATACAAACTCTACTTAGTTCACTTCTTTCGAACATGGTCAAAACCAACAAAAAAATATAGAAAAATATGTAATCCTTTTAAACAACGTTCTATCTGAAAGTCTTAGTCTTGATGACGTGTTGTTGGGATGGCCAACAAATAACATAACTGTGGAGATCGATGCCTCAAAGAGAAACTACAATTTCGTGACATATAGCTTAAATATTCTTGATACTTGACGTCGTTGAAAAAAAGTTGTGTACCTAAATTCGTGAATTTGCAACGATAGTTGTGGAGGCAGCTGGAATCAAAGATAACATGGTAGCGGTTGCTAGAATCGTCGATGTTAGGATTGGGGGTGACCGGACTCGATGTTACAGTGGGGGGTGTCAAATGAAATTAAGTTAAAAATATAGAGATTCTGGGTGGGGGCGAAAAATAGGAGATAATTGAAAATCAATGAAAACAATAAAAAAAAAAATTGAAAATCCGCGTTTAATGAGAGATGTTTAATTTTTTTGTTGTTGAATCCATTGCTAATCCCTCTCCAATCCATTTTTAAATGGCTAGAATTTACCGAATAGAAATCGTGGTTTTTTATGTTGTTGACCTCTTGGAAGTTTGTCGTTCATTAGCTAGGGATAACTTACATTGCTGATTTTGTCACTGATACCTCTATTTCTAGTAGTAAGGAAAGGAGTGAGCATCAATGGAAGGGAGGCCGACAATTCGTAAAGAGATGGGTGCGGCGTATTCACAAGAGAGAAGATAGACAAGACTGTGATTTGCAATACTTTTTACAAAATGACCGGATCAAATGGTGTTTTCTTTTTTCTTTGGAATTGTGTTGGACGAAGAATATATAACCAAGAAAATGATTTTTGTCGAAGTTGACTATTAGGGCAGTTTCTTGAACAACATATGTTAGTTTAACGGTGTTTTTTAAACAATAAAAATAAATGTAATGATGTTTATCTAACATGTAAACGGGCTAGAACTATTATCAAAATGTTTCTTGAACAACAACTCAGTTTCATTGTAAGTCATCTAAACAAAAAAAACGGGCATAGTAGTCCTTATCCATACACTAATTAATCTATCTAATTGTAATATAATGCATACCGAACCGCTTAGCTCCAAGAAATAATAATAAAGAATTGTTTGGCGTGCTGAGATTTTAGCTTTTTATATAAACCATTCCATATTATTGGGCATCATAAATCTCTTCGTAAGGGAAATGTTTTCTTTCTTACTGAATTCTCCTCTTTTCTACTATTCATGCATCGTTTTAATAATTCTCATCAGTTTCAAATGGATTTATACTCTTTCCAAGACCAAAAGAAATTTACCACCATCTCCACCAAGGCTTCCGATCATCGGAAACCTCCACCAACTAGGGTTGAGCCCCCACCGCTCACTTGATTCCCTGTCCAAAAAACATGGTCCACTCATGTTGATACACCTTGGCAACGTGCCCATGCTTGTTGCCTCCTCACCTGAAGCAGCCAAAGAGATCTTGAAAACCCATGATTTGAAATTCGCAAGCCGACCCAAGTTAAGAATCCCCGACATACTTTTGTATGGCTCCAACGACATAACGTTTTCTCCTTATGGAGAGTATTGGAGGCAACTGAAGAGCATCGCTGTAGTCCATCTTCTAAATAATACACGAGTTCAATCATTTCAACAAGTCAGGGAAAAAGAGGTGGCTCTTATGATTGACAAGATCGAAAACAGTTGTGGTTCTTTAGTTGATCTTAATGAGCTGTTTTTTTGGCTTACGAATAACATTGTCTGCATGGCGAGTCTAGGGAGGAAATATGGTGGGTCAACGTTTGCAGATATAATGGACAGGTTTGTGCATCTGCTCAGTGGTTTCGATGTTGGTGATTATATTCCATGGTTGGCTTGGATAGATCGATTGAGTGGTTTAGAGGAGAAAGCACATAGAGTTGCTAAAGAATTTGATGACTTTCTTGAATGTGTTGTTGAAGAACATGTAGATAAGAGAAAAGAAATGGATGCTCAACGTCGTGAAGATCAAGATCTAGTTGACACCTTATTGGATGTACAAAGAGATAACGCAACTGGCTTTACCTTTCATAGAGATGTCATCAAAGCCCTCATTTTGGTAAGAGTTTTATTTTCATCTTTTAAGTTTGAATTAACGAGTCGTGATCTTTTTGTTTTGGATAAGGTCACATTTGCACCTCAAATGAAACATTAGACATCTAATCATTGATGGAAGTGACTTGGACCAATACTAATGAATAAATTTACTCACAAAGGAAATTTACTTACCACCCACTTCCACGATTACAATGTTGGGGAAAATCGAAATAGCGTTATGGAAATCTGGATAACAAAACAGGAATCGTGTAATTACTTTCCTTATTTGATATTTCGATCCTATATGTTTTGGTATCACGAAATCCAAACTTAGGATAATTCTTGATGCATGAATTCTGATTTTAGGCACAAAATCAGAATCAATTTTAAAAGAAGATGAAGAAGGAAGCGTTTCCCGGTTTTCTGTGTTTCTATTGGCGTCGTTTTCTTTGATTTATCCAATCAACGGATAACTAAAAACAGTTTTCTTTGATTTATCCAATCAACGGATAACTACAACATTATTCTTGAAACACTTGTTAAAACAATTACACTAAATTATATTTGGTGATAAAATCACCAACATACAACAAAGGGAATGGATTGTTAGGATTAATGACTTTAATAAACACGCAATAATGACGATGCTAAAGGAACAATAAGAACTAATAAGACACCCAAGAGTAATGGAACACCATTAAAACTTATGTTTATTGTAGGATGTATTTACTGCTGAACAGATACTACATATGCAAGTTTGGTATGGTCAATCAGCGAGCTAATAAGACACCCAAGAGTAATGGAAAAAGTACAACAAGAAGTAACAGAAATAGCACAAGGAAGATCCATGATTCTGGAAAAGGATTTAGAGAAAATGAATTATCTTAAAGCCATCATCAAGGAGACCTTACGTTTGCATACTCCAGTTCCACTACTTGTTCCTCGAGAATCAACACAAGATGTGAAAGTAATGGGGTACGACATTCCATCTGGCACACAAGCGATTGTGAATGCTTGGGCAATAGGAAGAGATCCTACCTTATGGGAAGAACCAGAGGAGTTTAGGCCTGAAAGGTTCTTGAATTCTTCCACAGATTACAAAGGGCTTCACTTTGAGTTGCTTCCATTTGGTGGTGGACGTAGAGGGTGCCCTGGAATTCCATTTGCTATAATAATCATTGAATTAGCATTAGCGAATATGATATACAAGTTCGATTTGGCATTACCTGATGGAGTAAAAGGCAAGGATTTGGACATGAGTGAGAAGTATGGCCTTGTTGTCCATAGGAAATCTCCTTTAATTGTTGTGGCAACTTCTCGTTTCTAGTAGTTGCGCGTAGTATGTAGCTTTCAACGATGATAATACTGAATATATGTTTCATAATAGATGTAATAACCGAAGAGGTGTGTAGCTTTAAACACAAATCCTTTTAAATTTAAGATATGATTGATTTTCCATAATCATACATTATTTTTTTTTGGAACATCCTAACATGTTATGATTTAGATGTTAATTTAGTTTTACGATTAAATTGATCAAACACAAACTATGAGAGGAGATTATTTGTTGTTCTTGATTTCTTTCTAGGACATTCATTATTATATGCATGAGGAACACAAATCACGGTTTATTGATCCAAAGAACATGACTATAACTTGACACTAACAACTTCCATGACCTTTATAGCAAATTGGTCATAATTGGTTGCCTAAATATGTCATTATACGATTTAGAAAGACAAGAAAACATTAATATAATACGTATAAATACATTTTTGAAAGCCGATAAGTTTCAACATTACACTTCCAAACAGTCTCTGTACACAACTCTCTAACAAACATGAGAACTTATTGTTCTTCATCTTCACCATGGGCTCTACGAGCCCATGGTGACGAACCCGAGCTCGATGCAGATGGCATCGAGCCGGGTTGGGGCCCAGTTGTTGGCCCGAATAAAGTACTAAAAGGCCAAGGAAGAGACAAACGCCTCAAATTTCTATCATCCCCATCTTCACTACCACCCGACTCGTTTGTCTCTTGGCCGGGTCTTGTTTCATCAGAAGGTAACTCAAACCTGCAAACCGGACACGAGCTATGAAGCTCTAACCATGGTAGAATACATTTGCTATGAAATTTATGTTTACATGGCATCTCTTTAGCTTCATTTCCAACTTCAAAATCATCCAAACAAACCGAACATTGAACTGAATTTTCATCGATTTTTACAGTTGGCATTGCTTCCACCGCCTGTTTTTGTGCGGGTCGGGTTCCGTGTCTATTCGGGTCAATTTCAGATAAATGTTGCAGTAATTCGTCTAATCCGGGACCCGAAAAATAGTCACCTAAAGAACCAATTGGATGGGTCCCACCACCGCTGCCTTGAACAACTATTGTCTGATTAAAAGGATTAATCAGAATAACACGTTCCCTATCATGATCACGTTCTTGTGATGTATTGTTTTCAGATCCAGATCGAACACCTTGGAGGAGGTGGAGGATGGCGGCGGAGCTCCGGCCCCGCCTTCTCATGATGGACTCAAACTCACGGTCCAAATCAGAGTCTCCTCCCTCCCGGAAGTTGTAGCTCCGGTGGCGGTCTTCTTCCTCGTTATCTTCATCAAAGTCGATGTGGGAAAATCTCCGGCGACGGCGAGGGTTGTTCATCATGCCGAGAAAGACCGGAGCCCATAACGACTGAGCACGGTCAGGAACATCTTCACGGTGGTGGTGATGGTGGTGGTCGCTTGTTACACTATCCATTTCCTCCATGAATTCACCATTACAACTCGAACACTTGATTGTTAGCACTTCTATGATCGGGACTACGGGCCTATTACATTGATGACACCAGTATCTTGTTGACTCTCTATCTTCATCCATATCTCACTTTCAGAAATCAGAATCAAGCTCTGTTATCAATCGCAATCAAGATCAGCAACCACGGAGTAGAAAAAAAAATTGGTTTGTTAATTCAAACATATTATTACAGATCGAAGTATATAAAACCCTAGAAACCCTTGATCTGAGATTTACAAAGATAGAATTCTACTAGTAATTAACAAGAAAAATAGATCTTCAAAACGTAATTTAACCAGATCCAGAAAGTCAAATTTCTTGGTATAGATTTGTATGATCTATACCTGGAAGAATCTGAAAGCTTCTAGATTTCAATTCTTTCATAAACCTAACCAATCTGGATCGAAACTGACTCAGATAAGAAAGAGAAAGAGAAACAATTACCAGTATCAGCAGACGAAATCCGGTGTGTTGGAAAGATGCAATCAAAGACGTTTTTGTTGGAAATCTGCAATCAAAGACGTTTGTGGTGGGAATCTGAATGGGTATTGTGGGGTCATATGAATTGTAAGAGTTGTCGTGTTGCTGGAAGTGGATTTTGGGAATTTATGGTCTCTGCATAGAAGTCAGATGAGCATCCAAGGTTTGATCGTTGGATTTATGGAATAACAAGAAATGGGAGAAGTTTCTGAGAAAGTAGGAAGTCTGACAACGAATACCGCGTTTTTTTATTGTTTGCTGTTTAAAATTGATAAATAATTCGATATTACTTTATTTATTTAATTAATGATTGTTATGCTTTTATTTTAGAATATCCATAAGAATATGAAATGTTATTGTGAAATATTAAAAAAAAAAATGCCGTTTAGAACCTAATATATGTCGGAGAGTCAAGTTTATGACAAGATAAAGCTTAATATGTCTCAGAACTAACAAATGTCGTATTAATATTTCATACATTTATTTCGGAGAAATTGAAATTTTTTCATCTAAAACATTTTAAAACACAAATTGTTATGTATGTAGAAATTTTATTGTATACAAATCATATATGATTTTAAAGTTTTGACAAACTTATCTCTACCCTCGCAAATACATTAATGATACGGTTTATCATAAGCAAAATTATGTTATGTTAACAATGAGTTCATCCATAAAGAAAACATTTTCAGTTTTCCTATCTACTATCACAATAAGATTCATTTATAATGCAACACTAGTTTGCAGTTCCAATTCCATTAATCAATGTGATTGATGGTCAAAATATTTATAGATTATGTGTGTTTTGATCAAAAATTACACAAGTATAAATTAACTAAATTAAATGAGAGGTTGTGATGTTCGAATAAAGAAATGTATAGTGAATGACATGATTGTTTACAAGGAAAGCCATGGATCTAAGCGAGGATCTCTAGTACAAAACCTTGGGATGATTTTATTAATATAAAATGATGATTACGGAGAGTATTTCAGTAAAAGAACAAGTGAAAAAGTTTGTAGAGTAAGCTAAGAGTAAGTAGTATGTGTTGTGTGTGAGATACATGTGTCAATTTATAATCTAAATTAGCTAACAAGATGTCTCATATTATCGGAATCCTTTATGACCAACTTTGTGAACATTGTTAGACTTGGTATCCTGGGTCTTCAACATAGTTGAGACGACTCTCTGTTGAGAATAAGTCTTCACGTGACTATTTCTGCACATGTGTTAATTAAGAACGAAATATAATTGTTATAAATGTTATTAAATAATATATAACGGTATTAGTCGGGATCCTAAGATAGTTGAGGATCTTGAATATCTGATGAGGTTTGAGGATTTTGAATGCTTTGAGGATCCTGGCCCTAACAATTGCTCCCAAGTTATTCCTGAAAATACAGGAGTTAATTTCTAGAATATTAAAGGGTTAAATTAAAGAGGTAAAAGGAGAGAGAAAAAGTAATTTTCAAAATTAACCCTTAATGGCTAGGTAATTTTGGAATCCAAAGGGTGGATAACTAGCCGTTAATGGTCAAATCAGCCTTGAATCCTTAGTATAAATAGAGGTGATTAGTTCCACAATTCTTTACTCGTCTCGATTTTCTTTTCTTATGTTACCTTTCGATTACCGATGATTTATTAGAAGGTAATTATCTCTTTTTCTTCTACGTTTTTACTTCTTCTATCATGGTTAGAAAAATGGTTGTTTCTCGCAAAAACATCTTAGCTCTCCCTGAAGATGACTTCATCGATCAAGGGATTATCTCCTACGAGGAGATGTGTTCCTTCAGTGATGATGATATTGAGTCTTTGAGACTCAATGGAGCCTTCCCTCCTATAGCCGTTTTTAGGCCCTTCTACCTCTCACCTAACTTGACTTTGTTTCTTCTACCTGGGTGTGCTTCCCTAAATACCCCTTCTCCCTTGGTTTGTCTCTGAATTCTTCAGGATGACTGCGATCTTATATATTCAGGCCATACCGATTGTTTGGAGTATCATATACTAGATTGACCAAGTAAATCAGTCAAAAGGCCTTAATATAGGTCTTCCTGAACTGGCCTGCATATATAATCTCACAACATTCGGGAATTCTCACTTTCTCCTCAAAATCAAAACCCACAGATCTCCTCTGCTCTTGAAAACCAAACATAATGAAGGAGCTTAGATGACTGGGTCAAGAAGGGTATGATTCTTTTATTGTGAGACGTGACTCTTTTCCTACTTTTTTGTGAGACGTGACTCTGTTCCTAGTAGGGATCTCCTGCCAGATGACTGGGTCAAGAAGGGTAGGATTCTTTTATTGTAACATCCGGATTCCTAGGTATATTATTTATTCATTTAATTTTTGGAGTTTGTGGAGGAACTCAGCGAGTTGGCGCCAAGACTCGCCGAGTAGGGACGCAAATGTTCATTCTATTTCATGACCGGACTCGGCGAGTCCATTCGTGGACTCGGCGAGTCCACGCTGTTTAGTGAAGCCCTAATTTCCAAGGATTGGGACCTATTTAAAGGCCCTTATGGTCGTCCATTGTGGCTACTACCCCCAGAGAGAGAGTCTCGGATCATTTGAGAAGCAAGCAGTGACCATTCTTGATCTTTGTGGTGTCATTTAGTAAGAAGAAGGAGGTTCTAGCCAAGGGAAAGCAAAGGAGGTTGCTATTCTAAGGACTAAAAGCTAAGATCATTCATTTGAGGTATTATTATGACTCTTCTTCTGTTTTGGGAAGGATATGTGGTTTTAGGGTTTCTTGTACCCTTGACTAAGTTTTTTTGAGGTCCAAATAATCCATTCTAGAGATAAGGCTTTGTACCTGAACCCATAGAGGTCCAGAGAGCCTTATTCTTCAAGCTTTACGAAGAACAATGGAGGTCATGACCTTGGGTTAAGGTATTTGGGACAAAATCACCATTTAATGCCTATTGGTTGAGTTATAAGCATCAAGATTCAGACTTTACATGACATTTATGCATGGGAAGACCAGATCTATGGATTAGGGGCACAGATCTGACCACAGGAGGTCAATAGAGTTTGTGCATGGCATGAACTCGCCGAGTTGTTCTTGGGACTCGGCGAGTAGGGTTAAGGTCCATGCAGATCACTCAGTAAGTAGACTTGCCGAGTTGGGGGATAACTCAATGAGTCAGAAGGGGGTTAAAAGATTGGAGTTCAAGGCGGTACTCGCCGAGTTGTTCTTGAGACTCGGCGAGTTGAGTCGAGGTAGCCCCGTGATTTATGCCAGGTGTGACTCGTCGAGCACAGGGTAGGACTCAACGTACCAAGCGGGACAGAGAGTTAGTGGACATGTGTGTACTCGCCGAGTCACCGGAGTGCACTCGGCGAGTTGGGTCAAAGTTGACCGTTGACTTTTGTTGACTTTTAGGGTTTGGTCAACAATGGGCCCTTGAGTCAAGAGGGGGGGTAAAATAGTCTTTTACCCTTCTAAGGGTGATAATAGAGGGTCGAGTCTAGCCTCGAGTGTTATGTTTATGAGGGTATTTACTTTGTGTGAATAGGCGGAGGCTAGGCAATACTACTACCGAGTCAGAGATTTACGAGACGTCTGAGGTGAGTCTTCTCACTATGCCTTACCTGATGGGGTAATTATATGTGACCTAAGGGTCTTATATGTATGATGTATATGTGATGTAAGTTATATGTGATATGTTATGTGATATGAGCATGATGTGGGCCGGAAGGTCAAGATGATACGGACCGGAAGGTCAACAGAGACTGGGATGGAAATCCCCTGAGACACTTGGATCGGAAGGTCCTATGGCCTGGAAAGGCGTATGTGCTATATGTGGTATTTGGGGGAACTCACTAAGCATTTATGCTTATAGTGTTTATGATATGTGTTTCAGGTACTAGCAATGATCGCGGGAAGGCGCCGGCATGACTCGTACACACGCATATTGGAGAATATACATTTTGATCTTGGGATTTTGTACTGATACAATGTTTTTATTTATGAATGCAAACTATATTTCATGGTTTTTCAAAAGTGAAAAATTGTTCAAATTTTTACGGTGTTACATTTATATTAATATAAGGATCCTAGAATTCACATATTCTTATTTTGTTTTCTTTTTTGCAGCTTTCAAATTCGAAGAGCTCGTCCCTGTTGCCGAGGAATCTGAAGA